CGACAAATCTTGCCCTCTGAATCAAATGGACTTAAGGACAAATGCTTCACACTCTCCTTGCATTTACCGACCTGTGATCATCTGCAATGAATCACAGATGTGATTGTAAGCCGCTCTGAACAACCAGTTTTCCTCTCTTTTAGCACAGAAAGGGATTGCATATTTTAGGATTACTTCACCCTGCTGACCATCCCTAACTAGTTTTATTCCCACTGAAGACTGTGGTGCAATGGCACTTCCAAGCAAGACAGTTTCTAGTCCGAGGACACAAAGCCAGGGGGTCAGAATAATTTGCCTTGACAGCTATCCCCAGTTATACATCTCACTTAAGGACCACAAACACATTCTAGCTTGCATTTTTCCCATCTATATTTATAAACCTTCTCTCAAACTTGAAAGAAAAGAGTTTGCCAGGAAGCTACAAGGTAGAGGACCAACCTCTAAGTGTCACACGTATGCCCCGATTTGCAAGCGAGCTCCCGACCCTCAATTTGTTCAGGAAAATTGTAAGGACTAAACACGGTGAGAAACTACAAGACACCTATGCACAGGGCATTTTAACCCGCCTTCTATTTCTCAGCAAGGTTACTCTTCCTTAAGGAAGTGTCCAAGCAAGAAAGCTCTACTGAAAGGCCAGACCCCACCACACAGCTCCAAAGCTTTTTGCAAGCCCGGAGCTGGGCCTGGGTTACATCAACTTTTAAGAAGATGTGTCCTTATTGCATACTGTTGGAGCCCTTGTGCAAAGTACAGTCTATTTGCCAGGCTGAAATTTCTTTTGTTTGGTTGAAGTACATTCACTTTATCTGACTGCAAAAAGCCACTAATGTGACCTCTGAAGCGGCATACCTGGGCTGCCCACCCAGTCAGCACTGCTGTGAAGAGTTTTAAAACTGTGGCTACTGTCAGACTAATTGAGCAGAATGACATGTGTGAATTCACATCCTTCTCACAGAGATGAAGGACAGATTTTCCCCCTCAATCACTGCTACCGTTTTACACCCCCTGGCAGTGGCAGCTCCCCCCCCAAATAAAAAAAGGGGCAGCGACGATGATGAAGATGCAACAGCAGAAAATGGACGTCCACAGCTAAAGCTTTTGTCATCTACTGACCTGTGGCGTGGTGGCAAGTGTCCGGGAGACAGACAGTGGTGAAACACCATCTATTCATCAGGATATGACTTAGATAAAGAAGCTGAGTGCAGCACTGCCCAGCAGGTATCCTGGCGAATACATTTCAGGAGCCCTTACACATGGCATTCTGCCATTAAAAGCCAAGAGATGCCTAGACAAATTCCCATGGGTCCCTTTGGGTAGGCTGACGCTGAATCTGTCAGCCAGAATTTTAGTCATCCACTCAATGGCTATACTCCAGAAGTGTATGATGAATAGGTAGCTATGGTGAACTTTGAAGCCTGCGGGTCAAAGTTCTCTCTCATTATCCCCACCATTTTCTATTGGCACAGCTCCTCAGCATCCCAAGGGAAGGGAAGGTTTAAGGCTCTTGAAAAAAACTGACATGACCAAGTCAGGAAACAGTAGGGTGCTTATGTACATATATTTTCTTTCCCCATTCTTCTCTTCCCTCGCTTTCTTAAGAAGAAGGAATATGAATTTAGCTATTGTGTAAAACGTCAACCTGGCAGCACTCGTACTTATTTAGCAGGCACAACACAGCACTCATTTCTACACGCTGTGCTGCCAAGCAGGCCTGACCCTTCCACAGATACCTCCTCTGTAAGTAGGATACCAGTTTGATTTCCACACCCCATCCCAAATCCTTTCATTCTGAAGCCAATCCTCGAGTTAAGAGGACAACAGCACTGATTTTTGCAACACAGACTATTTGCTGTATTAAAAGCCACTGTCTTTGTGCGTGACGTGCTGTGGAACACACTCCACAGAAAACTGACACGCTGGAGGCCAAGTCTCAAGCAGTATCTAAGTACAGTAGCCACTAACAGCTATTAAATATTGTAAAAGCTTCTTCCAACGTTGGGGTTCAGTAACATTCTGCATTCTGACTCAAGCTACAATTTGGGAAGATTAAATTATGTTTTAAATTTATTCCTTCTTACCACCACTAGAGGCCAGATCCACCACTCACTTCACAGATTTACAGCTGCCAAATGTTGAATAACCAACATTAGCTGCAGACCTAAAATAACGCCTGTCTATCTCACAGGATGAGATTAGCACCACGACTCTTCACGAGTTCAGATGGACGGCTAACAAAAGTTAGGATGGCTAACTCTTCATTTCATCCTATCTGATAGGAGGTTGGTAGGAATAAGGTCTTATTTGTCAAAAAGCAAACAGCAATACAACCACAGCATTAGTAATTTATCAGCTTATTGAGTTCAGTGTGAACAATGTAACAAGTAGAGAGAGTTCAACAAAACCTAGCAAAGTCAAGCCAAAAACACCTTATCAGAGCTTTGTTTGAGGAAAGCCAAATGCTGGGTAATCTCCAAGCAAAAATCCTGACTTTCCTGCTCCCTTACCCACAAAGCTTTGTACAAGTTGTACTGGGAGTCCGACTGACTTGCAGCATCTGGTCCTACCTCTTCGTTCCACTGCAGTATGCACAAGACAGGGAAAAAAACTACTCATGCTTCCAGCCCCAGCAGAGGAGGCTGACAGAGAAGCAATAAGGTGATACTAAGACAAAATTGCCAGGTCAGCCCTGCACTGTTTTTCAGGTGGAGGCTTCTAACTCATAAGGACAAGTCAAAGCAAGCAGCAACAGTATCAGGAACTGCAAGGTGCAAAAGGGAAATATGGTAACTGATGGATGTACAAATTGCCCAATGCATAAAGAATGCTCTGCAGGGTATATTAACGACAGCTATCCGACACAAAGTAGTTCACTGGCAGTAATGAAATGCACTCAAGTAGCACAGTGACTCTTGGAAGGCTAAAATCAATGGCATTAAAACATTAAGACGCATCATTTATAATACAAATCACATCACAGGAAGACTGTAACGTGAATGAGCAGAAGCACAGATATTCCTAGGGTGTGAGTTCAGCAGAGGTGTCTGCAGAAGACTCAGAACAAGCACTAGGCTGTCTGCAGCAGCATCCTGTCAGCTAGGAGCTGTACGATCCCCCACTACTACCCACCAAAATACAGCCCAGGGAAAAACACTGTGTTACAAACCCCTCTGATCTAAGAAAGGTGTGAGCAACTGGAAATACAGAGACGTGTACCTTTTTCTTGGGAGTGGGGGGGGCACAGTGGGGGATAGAGGGAAACAATTACAGGCTAGTAATTACTTCTTCTTTAAATGGATTCTCTCTAATCTCCAATGGATTTACCTCTAATCTCAAAGTAATTACCTCTAATCTCAATGGATTCTCACTCAGGGGAAGACTAAGCAGCTCCAGCGAAGCCTAGAGAGAAGTACTCTATTGTCTGCGAGAAGCAATGAAAAACTAACATATGTTCCCAGGAAGCTCAGGAACAATAGAGCACTTACAGAGCACAGAGGGGATGTGGGCACAGACAAGGCAGCCTGCCTGCTCCCTGCTCTGCCCCGGAGTGGCCATCACAGCCTCAAGGGAGCGCATCTGGAGGATCCATGTGGGCTGCCTCAAAGGCACGCGGTGTCCGTGCTGCCAGCAATACCCATAGACGACTCAGGTATTTCAGGGTTGCTTCTCAGCAGCATTCCCCCAGATTAAACAGGGTAAGGATGGCCACAACGGCCAGACAGTCCTGTCCAGGTTTGTGAAAGGGAGAAAAGAGAAACTCAGTAATAACTTGCCCTGGACTACACAAGCTGAGGGGCAACGTTTCAGAAGGGAAGTAGCAATTGCTTGAATTGCTAGTTGTATCACTTACTAATTTTTAGGAAATAAGGAAATAACATGAGAAACTGTAATTATGGCAAGGAGTGAGACTGAATTCTTGCGGTAAGCCAGAGAAAATCCTAATATTCATCCCTCAGGAAACAGCAAGTTGGTGCAAGCACAGCATCAGCACAGCCACGCTCCTGAGACATCATCTACCTGAGAAGCAGCTTTCTGACAGATCCACACCTCAAGAACGTACCCACAGAAATACATCCATTCAAAACCTTGAATTTACGTCCTTACTGAAAAAAAAAAACCAAAACAAAATAAAATTGCCTAGGAACTCAAAATGACAGCAATCGGTATCAAATGGCCCTAAAATGTTACACCTGGTCACCCTCTGATTTCCATAGGGGATATGGTGATGAAACATAAAACCCAGGACAATCCCAAAGATCTTGGTGAAGGCCATACTATGCTCTTATTATGCTTCCTAAGTTCTACTCTTGCCTGCAATACCAAGCAAGTGGAAGAGCTGGGAAATCCCCAGCTCAAAATCCTGGTTGTCCGTTCTGTCTTCTGAATTGCTGTGGAATGGAAGGAGCTCTGACAAATCACATCCCTTCTCCTGCTGACATGGCTGGGACTCACAGGCTGGGCTAGTCTTGAGCCAGACACCTGTGCTTCTTCCTTTCCCCCAGACCAAACCCACAGATGGTGTTCTACACACAGACAGGATCCTTGGGCAGAGACAACAACAGAGACCTTAATGTGGAAACGCTCCATGGCACATTTTAATAGCTTTGTCATTTTCAAAAGGCTGTTCAGGATTACTTTCTGAATAAACCACAACCTTTGCACACTGACAAATACCAGAAAATGTACTTAGTCTTAACTATGTCTAGAACATTCTTCCTTATAAAATGCTTCCATAGTTTTCTTAATTGACAGCAAGTCCATAAGGACATCAGCACAAAATAAAGGCTTAAACAGGGCACTTGGAGTAACTGTGCACACAGAGTTTCACCTCAGAATTTGATTTCCAGTTACCCAGTTCTGATGGGATGGGAATGGAATAAAGTGAGAGAAAGAACTCTCTCCACCAAACTGGACTCAACAAAAACATACTCAAAGGAACTTGCTAACACTGCTTCACCTGAGCTGGACAGTTGTTGAAGGTACAGAGAGCACGGAGTACTTACATGTAAACTAGGATGATAGGTCAGCACGCCGTTGTCGCACAACGTCACGTATTTCTTCTTCCACTCTTTATTCAATGACTTGCCACTTCGCTTTAGCAGCATACCCTGTTGCAGGAAAAAATTAAAAAAAAACCATTAACCATTATTTCATACACAGAAAAGAGCGAAATCCTTGTGCGTTCCTCAGGAAGGCAGATTTTAACACAACAAGATGCCTCACTGTTCCATAGATAATATTCAACCCACACATCGGTGATGAATTTCAACCATCAGTATTTGAGAGTAAAAGTCATCATTGTGTTTAAACAGACAAGGACTAGTGTGTGCACCAAACTGTTGCCAGCTTAAAAGCAGAAATTCGCTTAGAAAAGCAAAATGTAGCTTCTTATAGCACAAAGTGATGGTAAACCAAACAATCTGCGTTTCCAAAACCACGTGAGAAGGCAGCTCTCTGATGAACTCATGCAGTAAGCTGCTGTGGGAAGCCAGGTGTGGGCACCAGGACATCTCAGCACACACAGTACTGCCACAAGAAGCACTCTGACAGATCAGGTTTGCATAAAAGCATTCACTTACATCTGTTTCATAAATGCACGTCCCAAGGCCAAGTGGACAAGGGGCACTTCTGTGCCTTCGCACGATGAGAGCTCTCCCCGAGCACATTTTTCCCTCCCTCAATGCCAGCTGTTGCAAATTTCAGCTGAAGTCCCTTGCCACAGCCCACAGGAACTAATAACTCTCCTTCTGCAACCACGGAGATGATCCCTAAGGGAAATCAAAGCTCACAACCGCCTTTTCCTGGACACAGGCTTGGAATAGAACTTCAGTGAGCAGCCCTTCTCAACTCAAAGCGATCTGCAGATAGGACTGTAAATAAAAGCTTGTGTCAGAGGACTGAATTACAAACCCCGAACTTTCTGGCCATCTGGGGGTCAGGCTCCTTTTTGTGCGCTGTTCTTTGCTACATCTAGGTGGCTCAACCTCAAACTTTTACAAAACAGAGCGGGGCTTCTGAAACTGTTTCTCACAAAAGCTTCTGCAAGTGTGAGTTACACATTCCAATTACTGCCTTCTCGTGCTTGGAGACGTTGTTTTCTTCCATTAAAAATGAAAGCTTATTTCTGCCTTTGACTCCTATGTTTGTCTATAGTAGGTGATCTGTCACTTCACCTTTCCCATCTTTTAAACCTCACCTATAGCACAGTCGCTCACATGTAGGGGCACCCAATTTTAGTTATAGCCATGCTATATGGATCAAAAATTACTCTCCCAAAGCTGTTTCCCTGTGCCGGTTCTGGCGCGTTTGTTCTTCAGACCTTTTAATGGGGAAAAAGCCATAAGAATCACAACTGTCTTTCCTTTTTCCTTGCCTTTTCTTTTTTTGTTGTTGTTTTTTGAAGTCTTGAAGAAAGTAGAAATGTATTTCACACCTTTTTACCGCTCAGTGCTATAAAGAAAACATATCACTACTTATGTAATTTGGAGTTCATGCCAATTACAAACTCCACACACTGCAGAAGAAACCACCTAAATGAATGGCTGCCATCCCCACTGTTTGCAGGAGGATGTTTTTTTGACAAATACGTTTTTTTTTCTGCTGTGTACAGGATGCAAATAATAGGATATTCACATAGAAAATTCGTAACGATTTTTACTACATGGTGATTTTGTTAGGGGAAACAGTTTTAAGTTGAGGAAGGGAAGATTTAAGTTGGATGTCAGGGGGAAGTTCTCTACTATGAGAGTGATGAGGTGCTGGAACAGCCGCCCAGAGAGGCTGTGGATGCCCCGTCCATCCCTGGAGGTGTTCAAGGCCAGGTTGGATGGGGCCCTGGGCAGCCTGGGCTGCTATGAAATGGGGAGGTTGGTGGCCCTGCATGCAGCAGCGGGTTGGAGATCCGTGATCCTTGAGGTCCCTTCCAACCCTGGCCATTCTGTGATTCTGTACCTAGGTGTGCACTACGAAATTCTGGTTGGGAACTAAATAAGGAACTAGTTACTCAGAATGGGGTTTCCATCTCACTTCTGAAGTGCAGTTTGGTGCTCTCATGTAAAAACTGACTCACTGGTAAATATGCACCATCTACTATTTGTATCAACCTAACCAATTAGACTTCCTGATCTGTTTCTTAAGGATGCATAAAATAATATAATTTTTGTATTATCTGAGAACCAAACTACATCCTCCAATATCTGTGAAGAAAAGCACTGTGAATACATGGAGCTAACAAAGTGTTATGAAGCAGAGGAGCACATCAGCCACACTTCTTCCTTTATCCCCCCAAGGCCAGAACTGCCACTTTGTCTGTGATAATTACATAGAATGGTCTGGAGAAATGCTCTTAGTATCGGAGTGTAGATCTGCTGTAAATGCACTTACACTAAACTTAAAAAAAAGAAAAAGAAAAAGAAAATAAAAATGGCCTAAGTACAACAAGAAACGCTACTAATAGAAAAGAAACACAAAAACAAAACAACAACAAAAAAACACCTTCTGTCACATTATGTCCACTTTTAAGCTGCATCAGATTCTCTGCCTGGAAGCAGAGTTGGCTATTAGGAACAATTTCTTCCCAGAAAGAGCAGTGCTGCAGTGGCACAGCTGCCCAAGGAGTGCTGGGGCTCCCTGCAGGTGTTCCAGAACTGCGGAGATGTGGCACTGAGGGACGTGGGCAGAGGGCATGGTGGGGTGGGTTGGGGTTGGACTTGGAGATCTTAGAGATCTTTTCCAATCTGAGTGATTCTACAAGTCTATGAAGCAAGAGGGACCTTGGTTCCCACCAACTCTTGGTGCCTTTGGCAAGCCCCAGCCCCAGCACACAGCAAAAATCCCATTTTGCCTTACAGCTAGGCAGAAAGGGATTAAGGGAATCAACTCTACGTTCAAAATTCTACGTTGCTTCTCATATTATTATCAATCAGATAACATTATTTCTCCTAATCCGTACAAAACCTTTGCTTACGTTCCTCCATCTGTGCTTCTAGCACTACATTCAGCCCTCGAGATTCAACACTACAAATGTAACACCTCCGATTTGCTCAGAAACTGAGAAGAATTTAACACTTCAAATCAAATCTTACCACCTTCTCTCCAAAACTGCAATTCTGACTCTAACAGAGCAACGCAGCTCCTCTGAGCCAGTGCTAGCTGTATTTCTAACAACTGACAAGATACACGCTCCAGTAGAGAGCACCAACTTCACTCCTTGACTTTTCCCAGCGAATGGCACCGCTCTACAAAGAAAACAGAGAACTGCCTGTGTGTATGGCAATCTCTTTATTAGTAATGTGTATGCCACGTCTAGTCCCAGGAGGTCATTGCAAGCCAAAAGCAATGTTAAGTGTACAAGCTTTAAATAACTTACAAAGTTAATGTAATGAATGTAAGTGTTATCTGAAATCCATCACTCAGTGGCTTGCTGTAGCCTCAAGCTGTGATAAAACACCACTCATAAATTTATATTAAAACTCTGTTCAATAGCAATTATTTACCAACAAAGATTTATTGATTGCATTTGCTGTTAGAGACTGGGGCCCTAACTGAGTCAATCAGCTCACGTTGTTGAGCTTCAGGGCACCAGAAGTTGCAGGCTACCGTCAGGCTCTGCAGCCAGATCATTACTGGGACTACAAGCAGCTAATGAAGGGCCCCCAGCGTGGGATCACTTGCTCTGGTGGCACCAGACCACTGGCCAAGGGACCACTGCTCGTAGCACACACACATCACCTGGATGTGGGGTGAGCAGCTCAGTGCCCCAGACGCCTCCTGCGAGCTGCAAACCTTGCTTACAAAGGAAGGCGAATGGGGAAATGATTTGCTATTTGTTTCATGGGAATATCCTTCTAAGCAGCAAATTATCAGCATTTAAAAATGACCTATGAAGGTTGTATAACACTGCATCAAAGATGCTGGCAAGGGAGCCTGCAGAACCAAAAAACCTCTTTTGAGTTCCCTGCTGTGCTCCATTGCATTTCTCTAACTTTCTCGTGTATTTTGGATTTCCCAGGGGCCACAAGAAATGAAAAATGTTTCACAAACATTTGTGTTGTGTTTAACTGACTGCAGGTTTCTTCTGCATTGGCTCCAGCCACAGCACGTGACTTTGTGTAGTGATTTTAAGGAGGGTTTGGTACATCTGACTTTTCCTGGCATGCCAAGTCGTAATGTCAGGACCCTCTAGAAGTCAGTAGGCACAGCCAAGATTGTACCTGCTGAAAAAGAGCAATACTTACACTTCTATTTTCTCGTGGGAACTTACAGCACTGCCACAGCTGAGGTACAAGCATCACATAGCCTATTTTTTTCCTCCTTAATTTTAAGCCAACCCCATACTGTTACTCTGATGCTGTTTTGACAGAATGAAATATGCAATCTTGCTCTTAATCATTAACAGCATAAACTCTTCATTTTCCACTCAGTGCTATGAATTTTCTACATGAATTTTCTATCATTTGCATTGCATTCACAGAAGAAAAACAACATCCTTGTCATAAAAAACCAACATCCTCACCCAAATAATTGGGTTAGCAACCATTCACAGTCATGATCGCAAGCAATGGCTACGTACAAATTCTGGTTAATACAGCACTCCCTTCTTTTAAATTGCTTAACATCATAAACAAATGCTGGCAAACCATCCAGGTCTGCATTACTAACCAACACTGTTAGCCAGCTGGAAGCACTGGGACCAACGTAGCTTGTCATAAAACATGAGATTATTTCTTACCTGATGATTTTTGCTTCTAGAATATTTAACTTGAACAGCTTCAGAGTCTTAGAGCTCAAACTTCACCATACAGTTGGCACCAGCTCAAATACTTGCACATTACAGATGCAAGATCACAGCAGCTGCTACTCTCTCCAACAACGTGGGCATGCAACCAAACCTCTGGGATATAAATGCCTTTGGAATCCTTAGGTAGGAAAGCAACTGTTCTTTTTTCCTCTCCTGATTTTCCAGATTTAAGTCTTCTCTTCCCAAGCATTTCAGGGAGAGGTGGTTGGTCTTATGAATGACTAGCTATGAAACAGTTTAAACTTTTTAAAATTGGAAACCTGTAGAAAACGTATCTGAACAGTAACAGGGCAATAGGGCTCAGTGGAG